AAGAAGAAGAAACGTGAAAAAGAAAAACCAGTAGAATAAAAATTAAAAAAATACATAGAAAATAAAGAAGAAAAAAACAAAAAAACAAAAAAAAAAGAAAGAAAGAAGAAAATGATAGAGAAAAAAAAATTAAAAGATAAAAAAAGAAAAAAATGAATAATTCATATTAATCTTATTTTAGTTTGTGTTTATTGATTTCATACACTTATTAGTATTGATTTTAAAGTTTTTAATGTTAGACAATGATTACTTTCATAGATTAGCTTTATTTTAATTTTGTATGTATCAAATTCTTGATCTAATTATTTTTTGATTTATGACATAAAATTTTATTTTAAGTTTCAATGAAATTTTTTGGCCCGCGCAAGTCGCGGGCTAAACACCTAGTTTCAGTTTGTAAATAACTAAAAATTTCAAAAGGTTTGTCATTCATTTCTTTGCAATTTTATTTTGAAATTAAGAATACTTTTTCTGTTAAGTTTATACTTAACTGGTAATTAGTAAATATTATTTGGTTTGCTAATCTGCTTTTAGTTATGAGATTTTTGATCAATGAAACAAAGAAAAATTTTAACAAAATGAATTTCTTTGGTTTGTTTATTTTTTTCAGTTATTCGGTTTGTTTTAATATGGATGCCTGTTTATAATTTTATAGTTGATGCTTCTTTTTCAAAAAAAAAATCTTAAAACCTTGAATCAGTGTCCTTAAAATAATTTATTCAGTTATAAAAAATAAAAATATCAAAATCTCGACCATAACTCCATAAGTGCATTGGTTATAAGAGTATCCAAATTTTCAAAAAAAAAAACAAATATCAAGTGGCATCGATATGCTAGCTTAGCATATGTTATAACGAGATTATTATCGATTTCTATGGATTGTATTTATTTTACATGTTTTTAAAGATCTGAAATTTTAGTTCGAGATGTGCCTCAAGGTCTCACTTATAACCAGGAAAAAAAATATAACCACATAATCCAAAACTCAAGAGCATACTGCAAAATAATGAATTGGATATATCTAAATATTTATAAATTTCTAATATTAATTAATAGGGATTAGTTTTTGGGAGACAACAATATAATTTTTTTTACTTAAAAAAAACCAACAAGATTTAATATTGAAACATAAACTTAAATAAAAGAAAACAGATAAATTACACATAAAAGATTCAAAAACCAAACTTCTCCATATGGTCGGAGGAACTAGGCACACAATTGTTTTCAATTTTGTTGTTGTTTTTGTTCATGTGATCAGTGTCCGATGATTCTCTACTTCCACTAATGCCAGCATTATGATTCATGTTCATAAAATTATTGTTGAAGCTCTGGTTCTGCTTGTTTTGATCCTCTTGATTTACGCGATAACTGTAAAAATTACCATCAATTGGTTGGTTTATCCAAGGATTACCAATCAAAGCATTAGATCCAACATCATAATAATCTTGATTCACTGGTGGAACACTTCGAATTGGAAGCACCATATCACCATGAATTTCAGGCAAAGAACCAAAATGGTTCCCAACAGCAACAACAGCAGAAGAAGAAGGACCAAGAGTTCCAACAAAGTTGTTGGTTTCTTGAACATTTAATAAAGGTTGGTTGTGATTAACTTGTTGGATCTCAACAGAAACTACCTGAGAAACAGAAGGTTGATCTATCTTTGGACGCTTGGTTTTACGACCACGTCCACCAATCGGTATGTCCCTTAACGTTCCACCATGAGTCCAGTGTCGGCGACAGTTCTTGCAGATGTAGCGCGGTTGAAACATGCTATAGTTGTTGTAATAGCAGAACTTAGTGTTGTCTGAGTTACACCTTGGACACACTCGTGGTGGAGGTTTCTCTTCATTCATCTGATTGTCTCCTATCACAAAAATATTCGAGCTAGCCATTTTTCTAGAGAGCTAATTGGTTTTTTTTTAATGGTTATTATGTTTTTAAATGATGTGAGGGTATCTTCTTATATAGGCTCTTGGGAAAGTAAAAATTGAAGAAGAGATAAGTTTCGGGATCTAGAGAGTGAGCTTATGAACGAAAACGTGTCAAAGATTTGTTTATTAAGTAAGATCTGAGATGAATCTTCCACACTATAAACTTTAGGCCAGGCTTTAGTCAATTAACCTAGTTTTTTTTTTTTTCCTTTATGGGATGTATAGGGAGAAATGGGAGAAGCATAGA